AAAAAAAAAAAATAATAATAATAAGGAAGCGCCTGACGGTATTCGAGCCCGACACCTTCTGAAAGCTAACAAGTACTAGCACTACTACTATGTATATTTGCTTTCAAATATTCAGCTTGAACAAATAAAATACAATTATTGCTTTCACACACAATTCACAATTTTCAAACGTTTTCCGGATATTAAAATTAATCAAAATAGAAGTCGTTATCTGTTCGCTTCCGAGTAGGAATACCGCACTTTTTTTGAACGCTTTTGGATTTCTTCGAGGCCGCACTGTCGACAAAATTGATGTTTCTCTGCTGGCTACTATGCCGGCTGGGCATTGTGCAATAAACAGATTGCAAAGTAAAAATAAATGAAAATTTATAAAAATAAATCAATTAATGAAATTTCTTTAAGGAGCTAAGGAGGAAATGAATTTTTTTAGCTCTTTGCTCCAGCTCCGCTCCGCTCCGAAGCTCTGAATTTTACTTTTACCATTATTTTGCTAAGTTTCAAACTGTTAACGCGTGAAGTCAGATATAAGTTGAATACGAAACTAATAAAGTATAAATCTAAATTATATGTACATATGTATATCTTACACAGAAAATTTATATTTTCCAATAGTGACGGTTTTTGAAATCGTTTCACAATTTTAGACAAACTATAAATATTTTGTTTTATAACGGCTTTCTCAAATGTTGTTAGTAAAGTGATATTTAAGGTCCATTTTATGCTTTAATGGCATTATTATATTTGAAAATGAAAAAAAATAAACCTATTTTAGCTTGTGACGTGTAGGAGAGTATTTTGTGATGAGTAAGGGTCCATTTCACCAGCGTGGCAAATGCAGCGGAATTAAAAACAAGTAATTTTGAAGCAAAAAACAAAAGTGACTTCAATTCTCATATAAAAATTTAAGATGATCGTTAATATATTCGTGATCCAATGATCGGATTTAAACCAAATTAGAATGGGACCACCTGTGAGGAAACACCTTTGCTTTAAAAAATTATAGAAATCGGTTAACGTGGTCCAAAGTTATGCGGTAACATACATTAAAAAAAAAAATAAATAAATAAAAATAGTCCCACGAATTGATAACCTTCCTCCTATTAGTGAAAGGCAATATTTATACCGCTATTGGATGATATTTTGCTCCATCTCCGAGAAAGATTGCCGAAAGAGACATTCAACGTTTTTGATTTGAACTTATTACTTCCTTCTAACATTGGGAAATATAATACGCTAGATGAAAAAATAATGCTTTCTAATGCTAAGTCGCTTGGAAAACGATACGAAATTTTCTTAGAAAAAAACGTTATCAATTTGGGAGGACAAAATAAAGTGTGGTCAGAACGATGGACAATTAAGGTAAGCGAAAAGTAGCAGCAACAGTAGTTCTTGGTAAATGCGACGAATATACTTTTCCATTGATTGACAAACTTCTTCGCTTCCTGGCCACATTTCCAGCTAGTAAGGCTACTTCATAAAGAAGTTTTTTTAACCCATCCCCGGTCAAAAACATGGTTGCGTAGTACCATGAATGAAGAAAAACTGATAGGTCTAGCGCTTTTACTCGTACACTTAGATATTGAAATTGACGATTGGATATTTAAATTTGGGAGCGGATTAGAGCCGCAGTTGTTGCCTGGTATCTAATATGAAACGAAAAATAAATGTAATTTTCCATTCATAAGCATCCTTAAGAAGGGAAGGCCAATAAATAATACAGTGGCTATGTACTCACTCTTATGAAACAGTTGCATTATTTCACATTTTATGATTTTACGTCATAATTATTTGATTTGTTTATCTGTTGGCTGTTTTTTATGGGAGTTTTTACACTTGAACATTTGGTTAGCTCCTACATTTCTAGCCACTTGATCGTGTTTAGCACATACTCGCTTATGCATACTTTCATATGTATCTACATACTATGTATGTAGGTATCACTGGTGAAGGCCTCAGACGAAAGTGCAATTCTGGATGTGCTTGTGATAAGAATGATATCAAAGGTAAATAGGCTTAGAACAATTGGCGAAGAGCTTATAAGAACAGGCACGTGCACCTACATATCTACTCTTTTGGCTGCATTGGATCTATAATACGTGTATCTGAATTTAATGTGTGCGCATTCGAATTTTCACATCATTTGCCCGAGATACTAGCAGTGATCTGGTACTTAATAGAAAACGCAACAGTAAAACGATACTACTCCTAAAGCCGACATTGCATAGCTGGCTGATAGCTTGCCGAGTGAAGACCTCCTCCTCCGCTACGTGATCGTAGTAGAGTATAAATGTATTAAAAAAAAAAAA